CGTATTTCAAAAGGTGGGTCTCGGCCCGGCCTGATGGGGCAGGTGCTGGCGGGGCCAGACGACCAGGCCCGCCCTGACCCGCTACGGTACCCTGTACCCCCGCCAGGCGCTGCGCTCCCTCCGGCGTTACCCGCTTCCCCTGCGCAGCGGCAAAGAAGCTAAGATCCTACGGCATTTCGGAGACGGGCTCTGCCGGATGCTGGACCAGCGGCTGCAGCAGCACCGATCTTCGGGCGGTGAGCGCTGGAGGCAGGGGTCGGTGGTCCCCGGAGCCTCCCACAGTGCAGCCTTCGCAACCACCTGGCATACCTTAACTCCCCACTCCGGTGCCAGTTGCTGCTTGACGTTGGCCAGTGGCTGGCTCTCTCAGAACCGCACAGCTCTCAGCTACCGGACGAACTGGCAGTGTCCCAAACCTTCCCACCTGCTGGATTTCTGGATTCCGTGGCGTCTGGGGTTGACTCTCGTCTGCTCCCGCAGGTGATCGTGCCCCAGATGCATCTGGAGCTAAGAGACCAGCCCCGGAATGGCCACCTGCCGAAGTCCCGGAGGCTTCCATGCCAGTGAGGATGGGGAACGGGGAAGTGGGAGCACTCGGATGGAAGGAAGAAGTGTAGCTCTCCCCACCAGTGATGCCTAGCCTTGGGCAAATGAGTGTCTTTCTGATACTGAGTTTTCTCATCTGGAGAGGAGTATGTTGATTGATAATAGAGTCCGTTGGGAGAGTTCCATGATCAAGCTATTTAGGAGGCCACGCCCAGTAAATTGTGGGGGTTGCTGTTACTGAGTTTTCTTGTGTTACCACCTCTGTCCTGCAATGGGTGGTAGAACTGAGGCGGCACCAGGTGGATTACACCACCTCCCCACAACCCTCTACTGCTGTGGTTCCCAACCTTGGCTGCACATGAGAATCACCTGGGAATCTTTTTAAAATCCTGATTTCTGGGCCCCATCCTTCAGAAATTCTGTTTCTTTGTTACTAATGTTGTGGCCCCACCCCATAACAAAGAAACAGAATTTCTGGAGGGTGAGGCCCAGAAATCAGGATTTTAAAAAGATTCCCAGGTGATTCTAATGTGCAGCCAAGGTTGAGAACCACTGCTCTACTGTCTCATCCCAGCTTTGCAGGGGGTCATCCCCCCATCTGGCCTTTGTTACAGATGTGGAACCCGAGAGGCAGCTGAGTGACTTATCCAGGGCCATGCTGAGATAAAACCTGGACCTCGGCCCAGCCAGGAATTAAGTCTACAATGCATGGCTCTCTGGCTTTTGTGTTCAAAGCCCCTCTGTACCTTTCAGGTTCCATCCCAGCCCAAAGCGGGAAGCTCTAGCAGCTACTGGCCGGCTCGGCACTCAGGGGCACGAGCAGTACTGGTGCTGCTCCATAGAGAACACCTGGTGAGGGCCGCTGCACCCGGAGTCGGGAACCCAGGCAGCGGGGCGGGGGGCTCCTGGAGGAGACTGGTGCAGGCACCGAAACTCCTTTGGATACATTTCTGCCTTGATTACAGAATCCTAGTGGCCACAGCTGCCTAACCAAGGAGGAGCTGCTGCAGAGGTGTGCCCAGGAGTTTCCTAGGGTGAGCACTGAGGGGGGAAGGATGGGGCCCAGTGGCTCTGGATCTGCCCTGAGCCCACCCGAGGCTGCCCTTCCTGGGAGAAGTGGCATGGGACACAGGAGTTGGACACACGGCAGCACCAGGGGCTCTCTAAGGGTCTCCTCTTCTGTGGACAGGTGGCCCCTGGGAGTACTGGACCCTGGCCAGCTCTCCGCTCCCTTCTCCATAGGAACCTGGTCTACAGAACACACCAACCAGCCAGGTGGGGTCAACTGCAGGCGGTGCAGGACCAAGTGGTGGGAGGGGGATCATGCATGATGTTCTGAGTGGGGCCTGCAGTCACCTAGCAATTCCTGGGTCTCATAATATTGAAGTTGGGGGAGGCCTTACCTCT